CTGTGTCTAAGTTTGTAGAAATAAGAAATACTCTTATAAGCCAATATAGATACTGAGGAGATTGCTGAGCATAACCTAAATGGAATGTGTGTTCAGATTAGATCTGTTGGGGCTAAGTTTGGTAAACAATCCCCTAAACATCTGATATTGTTGTTGGACCACTCTGAGTAGTTTAAGCTAAAACTAACTGAATTTCAACTGTTTGTACGGGCACTTTTATTAAAATAAATAATAATGACAATAAGGATCAAAAAGTAGGTTTTTTCTAGAAGGCAACACCATGTAAAAGCCTTACGCCGTACCAAAACCTCCTAAATTTAGTTCTCAAGCCTTAGAAAGGAAAGTTTATTTTCTTATAAAAACCCCATATTCCGACTTTGGCAGACTGCATACGGTTTAAAATATTTGGGTCTTGATTACGACTATCTATTCATTAGAGATCAGGATTTTTTTTTTTGAAAGCCATGGATCAAATCCTACACGTCACCAATAGCTTCTAGTTATAAATTAAATACCTGCTGTACACTGTACAACCCAATTCAAACAGTGGTTCCCTTTCTACTAAACAAAACAAGGGTCTCAAGCGAAAATAATTTGTCTGCACTGGATAACGTCCAAAAGCTTAAAAACAAACAGAAAATATAATTTTATTCATTTCCTAAAAAACTGTAGAGATATGGTATAAGATATATTTCTGTTTGTGAAACGAAAAACATTGAACGGTTTTGAATTGATCAGCGTAAAAGTGTGGCCTTTTGAACCTAGGTGTGCATATATTTGAAGTCTACACGGATTCCAATCTCCATTTGTATACAAATTGTTGATCTGAGGTAAACAAACATGTTCCGTCAGCAACTTGTATTTTGGAACATGGATCCATCGATTCCTTGAGATTTCAAAACCCGCCTCATATTTTAATACGTGCATAAACATTTCTTGTAATATCCGTATCTTTATTTCTGTTCATTAAATAAAAAATAACATTTATTAAAGGTTCCTTCTAGTTTAATGTCTAAGTAAAATTTAATTAACGAAGATAGTAAAATATAGTTTAGCCTTGGTCTGAATCCTGACTTCTAAATAGCTTTTGCTTCATTATTTCAATACAAGGTAAAGAGAAAAAAAAGTCGGGACCACGTAAGTTTGCAGTTGGTAGCAGCCAATCACAAGACAAAGCTAGTGCGACGATGCCACATCGCCCGTTGACAAACACTAATTAAAATAATACTAAGCAATATTTTCAAATCAACTGGTATTATTAGATTTGGCAGCACCGCACGCTTCTCATTGGTTCATTCAACCCCATATGGTAAATAGGCTCCTCCCTCAACGGCAAACTTACGTGGTCCCGACATAGACCTTTCATCACAAGGATAATTGTTATTTAAGGCCTACATAAAATCACAATGTGTAAAAATATAAGCGCAAATTTACTTAAATTAAACTTAAGTGCCTAAAATATGCATTAAATAGTAATGAATAACGTTATGTCCAACTATGATATCTTAATATAAATAGACCGTTTGTTGTAATGAACTTGTGTTTTACAAAGTTCAATATTAAACTTACAAGTAATACTTATGCAAAGTAAAGTTTAATAACAGCTACAAGAGGTAACCCGTTTTTCAAGAGGATACTTTGGCCCTACAGTGTTCCGATATTAAAATTGTTTCCTACACTCTTAAACTCTAATATTTACATTTTCCAAAGATATTAGAAATATGTTCTAAACATTAAAGTTATCTTTTTTGCACATAAGCATTTTGTGAAGTGAAACATTACATTTAGAATTAAATTATACGTAAATTACGAATGTGGTAATTATTTAGAATATTTTTTACTACACACGAACATTTAAAATTATTGTAAATTAATTTAGTTAAATTCAAATGTATTTTTTATGAAAATTTATTAATTTTAGTTAACATTTCAGAAAGATGTATATGAGGCTTATAAGTATCACCACTAAGTAGTATCATAGATTAAATGAGTAGTATACTGAGTACATTGTTACTTTCGATCCAGTCCAAATTTAGTTGTTATTTATTACTTCCTAATGTTACGACTGGTTGGTGTCATGACCACACAGATGCCATTGACGAAAATATCAAATTTCAATAGAAGTTGGTCGCCTGGACATCAGGGGGTTGGCAGATTATGTATAATTAACTGTATCAATTAGGAGGATCTAGAATTGGGGCTCACCAATGGTAATTCTGGTGTTTTTTTATCAATATATCTATTTATTTCATTAGTTATAGGACTATGGCTGTCTTGGCCTCATCAGCTGACATTTTGTATATGGGAGCATTTTTAAAATTATTTTTAATTGAATCCCGATTGAGGAAGTGACGCTATTCCTTTATAGATGTACAAAGTATGTACTTGAACATTATTACAAAAACACTGCATTTTTTTAAACCAAAATCAATAATGGATGTGAAACTATTATTATAGAGTGCAACAGATTTAAAGAACACCATTTTCTCTTCTGCGTCCTCTCCCTGTTGCAAAGGACGAGTACAGCAATACATACAAAGGGTCATATAAGGTATCATATAAAGGGTGAGTAGTCTAAGTCTACTATACTTGCAATAGAGATAAAATAGTCGATAAGTAATACTTCTTTTCAAACATAAAAATGTAGAATTTTCATAAACAAAGAAAAATATGTTTGCTCTTGTGACCCTGTAAAGTACAAAATATTTTTTGTTTTAACATGGCAATATTTATTTTACTGTAGTTTTCTTAAACAGGCACCAGTACTCAAATCGACACTAACAAAATTAAATACACCTATATCATGTTGTTAGTCTCGAAATCACTTGTATACTGTGTATACAGGGTGATTGATATAAGTGTGCCAGCCGTTTTATTCGAAACCTATAAGAGATATCAAAAAAAGTTAAATGGTAAGTGCCTTGGATTTTTTATTTTAAAAATTGTTGTCAAGTCAAAAAAATTATTTTAGCCGCCATTTTTCCAATATGGCCGCCAACATTGATTTTTCTTACGGAACACCCTGTATTTTATGATGTATTCTGGTAGAAAAAGTAATTTTAAGACGATTTTATTCTTGTCATTTTTTTCATAAACCTAACCGTTTCAAAGATAATAATGGTTAAAGTTGTGAAATTTTTAATGGTTTTCGAATAAAACAGCTGACATGCTAGCTGTTTTGTTCGAAAACCATTAAAAATTTCACAACTTTAACCATTATTATCTTTGAAACGGCTAGGTTTATGAAAAAAATGACAAGAATAAAATCGTCTTAAAATTACTTTTTCTACCAGAATACATCATAAAATACAGGGTGTTCCGTAAGAAAAATCCATGTTGGCGGCCATATTGGAAAAATGGCGGCTAAAATAATTTTTTTGACTTGACAACAATTTTTTAAATAAAAAATCCAAGGCACTTACCTTTTAACTTTTTTTGATATCTCTTATAGTTTTCGAATAAAACGGCTGGCACACTTATATCAATCACCCTGTATTTAAAGGTTTTACATAACAGTTATACGGTCTTGTTTTAAGAACTACATTTTTACGTAATTTTTTTCATCGGTAATCAATGCTTATACTCATACCAATTGAGATAATAAATCACATAAATGCAATGAAACCTACTTTTTAAATAAAAGTAAAAGTCAGATAGTTAGGTTTGTGTGTATTTTAATGTAATCTTAAAATTTTGTTTTAAAATCAATAGATAAGTTTATTTGAACAAAAACTATCCCTTAGTGTTCAATGTTATTCAATGTTATTTAGTTGCTATTTTTTATATTGTTTATAAACCGTTTGAGACAAGGAACTAGTCAAATATAGAATAACATTTTTTGAATAGTGTTCTCTCAAAAGTCAGGAAAGACAATAATTTTGGCTTCATTGTATATTTCTCATGCAATAAAAGATAAATGATCAAATACAGCTCTGAAACAGAGCAGTAAGACGACTCTTGGAGGAGCTTATAAATAACTAACAACATTGGATATTCCTGCTTCTTCCAACGTCTCTTACATTTGTGTATTGCGAGGGAAAACGTTTAATAAAAGACATAACAGTAAAGGTTACTTGATGCAGACTAAGGATTGTAACTTATTTTGTACGGTTCTATTTATGATAAAAATAACCAATTGACCAAAATATCCTTATTGCACCTCATCAAAGCAGAAAGAAGAATGGCGTTCAAGTTTTAGCTGCCTTATAGATTTTGATTTGATTTTTTAACTATAATCATAATTAACTTTTTTTAGGCCGTATGTATTGAATGCTCCTACATTTTCACGCCTTAAAATAGATAAAACGTCGTAATTAAAAACAGTTTATACCTGACTTGCTTCCCTATCTTTGTGAATAAATGTTGGGCTCTAATGATCGCATAACATTCAATTACATTGATGCTTATGAAAGGGACTTCCCGTATTCATGAGACGACTTTTAAACAGATCGTTTGTGTAAAATATTGTAAACAAACACTAAAACCTCACCCTACTCATTGGGGCTTTGGGGCAAATTGTTGCAAAAACTCATTTAAAGCTTGCATTTCATTGAAACAAAATTCAATTCAATCCTTGCTGCACGTGTATCTCATTTTGACCAATTCAAATTGGATCACACTAAAAGAATAGTTTTGGAACCTTCATAAAAATATTCCTTTTGAAGGAAATATTCTATAACGAATCCCCAATTCAAGGAATTTGTAGTAAAAGTGAGCTAAATTCTTGGAAATAATACAAATCCTTGATATTCTCAATTTCTTCATGAGAACAACAACAAACTTGAAGCTAAACTTAATATGTTAAAGCTACAACAATCAATATTCAAATAAATGGTTTCTCTTAAACCAATAGTGAGTAATCTAGATAGGCTGGACGTTTGCTTAACACTAAGAGATAGCTTGTTGAGAAAATATTAGATTTGCTGAAAATATTCCACTAGATTGCCAATGTCAACAGGGTTATCTGGGTTCCTATAAAGAGAGTCTTGTTGATCTGTCAGTCCGACAGAAGCATCTCAACCACCATGGCTAACAGTAAATTAGTTTGTGTTTTATGTGTACTCTTTTCACTGACATATGTAAGTATGATTTTTGAATTATGTTGTAACATTGTAGCGAATATTCAGGGAAGTAGCTATTAATATAGGTGGCATGGTAAGACCTAGATCCAGTACTGATTTAACTTTTAATTTTGATGTCCCCAGAGAACAAAAACAATTCATATTTTTTTTTGCAAATTCCTCCTATAGAAAATAAACAAAATATACAAAAATATTGTGTGTGTTTGTCCATGAACAATGCTCAAGTGATTAAGATTTTGATATTTTGCAAGAACTGTAGGGCTGAATGAGTATGTAAACTTGAATGAGTTCATGAACCAGCAGCATCAGTTGTTATGGATCTTAACTATTTTGGAAAATTAGTTATTTCCTAACTTTTACCCTTACAGATAAAACAAATTATCAAGTATAGCCTATTGAATCATTTTTATAAGTTTAATGGTTACGAATAAAAATTGACTGACTGGGACGGGTGGCGTCGTCCTGTAATCCAGCTACTAGGAGGTCACGAATTGTGGATATTTATAGGCATGCACTGTGGATGCGATGCTCCCTGGTGTGGATTAACTTCCGCACGAGTGAGTACCCGACTATCATCCGCAGTACTATTCTGATAATTGGACCAATTCGTTAAATACCAAGGAAAAAATGCGGTTCGGATTCCACTATAAACTGTAGGTCCCTTAGTTGCCATTAGCTGTATGGGCTATTAATTAACAGCTGTGTCTAAGGAACATGTTGGCCTTAGTCACTAACAAGACTACAAGATCGCGCCACTCATCCTTTACTTATATTTGGGTTAAAATACGCACATAGTGGCGTCCCCATCTTAAATAATTGATAATTGATAATTGAAATAAAAAAAAAAAAAACCTAAACACACAAATTCCTATGCCCTTTAAACTTTTAAAATAGATTATAAAACCTCAAAATCTTAATGTGTAGGAATCTTATTTCAAAAAAACTGACCAAAATTGTTTGCTAAATAATGAAGACGGTCCAATTATTAACTCGGAATTACTGTAACTAATTACATCAAAAACAACAATGTAATGTACCGTATCCAAAATTCAGAAGATTATTTTTCATAAGATTATTATTTCATATATTTTTCCAATATCCTTTATATCATCTGTTTAACTGTATTTAAAATTAATTTTTGTCATACTGCAGCAAAAAAAAGCCGTTTTTAATGCATGGGTTGCGGGTCTGAAGTAGCAATTTTACTCTCTAGGGATTAAAATTAAATTTTAGACTCTAGGGAGTTAAAATCAGTAGTTGTAAATTTCGATTGTGGCAATCGTATCAACCAAAATTATTCATCAACTAATTTATTAGGTAAGGTGTTGTTGTCGATTGCTCGACATATCTATGGTATAATGTACTGTAACACAATCGTAATCAACCAAATAATTGAATCACTTACGAAACAGCTGCTTATTTGGACTAGTAGAATTGAAAACAAATAAGCTGGAAGTAGTTTTGAGAGGTTATCTTTACATACAAGTTTTTTTGTTTTCTAGATTTGTGTGTTAATTAATGATGCAATATGACGAAAAATATAGTTCACCACACGGGCAAAAAGTGTAACCCTCGCTCATTTTCCGACCTCGGTTTCGCCTCGACCGTAAAACTTGGCTCGAGTACAAAAGCGTCACTTTAGGCCCTAGAGATGCCCTACTATTCCTATTCTGAAAATAGAAACATAGTTTTCAAAAGCTCTTGTGGGGTTAAACAAATTATTATAATATGTTGAAATAAATCCAACAAGTTTTAGGAAATATTTTATTACAAATCCTATCAGTTTTTTCCTTATATTTAGACAAAAGTTTAACCTAATTTTGACAAAACTCAAATTTCCAGGTTTTATGTGAAGTAGAAGACTTGCAACCCATCTATAAGTCTACCGAGGAGACCCTTCAGAAGGCCAAGACTCATGTGGACCACATGCTAAACATGAGTCCTCTGCCTAACGCAGAAAAGATTCCTTCTCTGGTCAAAAATGAGAGTGAACATATGGCTCATGAGATCAAGAAACTGGCCACTCACCTTCAAGAGAAGGTAACACATATTAGATCTAGTTATAACATAGAACGTGATTGTTTTGGTTGATTTAACCAAAACTAATAAAACAGCCCATTTTACAAAAAAATATTTTTAAAAAACCCTACACACTTGTGCAGTCTGTTGCACAAGTGAAAAACAAAACAAAAAAGACGTGCAGTATCAAATGAGGTTGTTACCCAAGGAAGAATAGATGTCAGACACAATCTGGTGAACACATTTTCCTGGTAGGTGTTAGGTGCCTGCTTCCAGTGCCAGGAGCATGTGTTCATCAAATTAACCAATCACCAAATTTGGGGTATATCGTCATATTACGCTGAAAACTATGCTGGTGTTAGGGATAGGGAAGAGTGTTTACCCCTCAGTCTTTGAAATTTTTTTAAACCTATTTATGTAAACATGCGCATGCTAGTTTTTCACTTGGGTAACAAACTGTGACTTAGTCTTTGCAAGGGTAAAACTTTATTTGGGTCAGTTGCTATTTTCATACAGTTTTAAAAACACAGTCACACAACAGAAAAATATATAAAATGCACATGTAATGTGTACTGGCCAGTTGAACAGCCATTTATTATCACAGTCACAGTCCATAAATGATGTGTTTTAACAGACAACTTTGATCATGTAAATAAGAAATAACCCTAGTTGAATTTGACCTTCAATTGAAGATAATACTCTTAAAACTGTTGACTTTTGCAAGTCCCTTAGGTATTAGGGAGCATAGGAAGGTTAGTAATACACATTTTATGACAAAATCAGTCAAAAAACTCAAAAATACTGAACAAATATCCCCATTCAAACTAAAACAAATAAATAAAATCTTAAATGTACCTATATTTAACCAGATCGCTACTGGTGAACACTCCCCCGAGATGAAGGAAGCAGTGAATGCTGCGGTGACTCATCTCAACGAAGCCGCAGAGACACTTCACGGCGCAGGCAGCGACCTCAAGCAGGACAACACCAAGTACTACGAAGCTGCAGAGAAGCTGCTGGGCTCAGCCAAGAGCATTATGGCTGTTGGACCTTGCCCGGAGATCTCTCCTGTACTTAAAGGAGCTCTTCACGAACTGACTCACGACATCAACAACTACCAGGTCAGTAATGGTTGATGATATCAAATAAGTTGTGTATTATATATCAAACGAGAGGTCGTCCAGTGGTCGAAACTCGACCAAAAATATGTAATGTACTCACTTATCTATTTTCACCCCACACTGTAAATAAAACATGTGATTGGAGTTTCTTCCATTTGTTTTGATTTTCTGTTTATATTTCGTTGTTATTTCGTAACCAGCATAGCAACGCATAAGATCCATGTTAATTTTTTCAAATTTTTAAACTCATTTTTTGTGCTTATCTTTGAGCCTATTTAAATTTATAAAGGGATTCTGCACACCTACAGGAAAATAGCTTTCCAACGGTATGCGTAGATTTTCCCTACGATGCACACGAGCTGAGAAAAAAGGTTTTAAAGAAACATGCTTGCCTATTAATATATAGATAGATAATTAGATGATATACAATTATATATCAAATAATTAGATGATATACAATTATATATCAAATAATTGTAATGAGCACAGCTTAGTGGTAGCATCTACGACTGATAAGCCAATCATAGGTGGTTTGAGACTTGATACTCCATCTAAATTAGCCAGCTGTAGCCGATTTCTCATCTAAATAGAACGTAGTTATATGTGGCGCTTACAGAAAGTTCTACAGTTGAAATTTAACTTTACAGTAGAACCTCTTTAATCCGAACTAATTGGGACAAGGGGTAGTTCGGACTATTGAATAGTTTGGATTACAGAACATATTGTCGTTTTTACATAACAATAGGTAGGGAAAAGTGAAAAATGCTTTATAAAGTAAAATACAGTGTTTATTTAATACAGTAGTACACATAGGGAATAAACAGCACCTTATATTACAATTGAAATAATTACGCGTACATCAATAAATACAGTATACAATAAAGAACTACTGTACTGTGTATAGAGTATAGTAATGAGGCATTCGGATTACTGGACGTTCGGATTAAAGGGGTTCGGATTAAGAGGTTCTACTGTACTTCATAGTTTTTGGCCTACTATGGAAATTGTGACATTAAGGATATTATAGTTTACAACAGTTGGTCATATCAGTTTATCTTTGATAAAAGTCTGCATATACAATATAAATCAGTACATACTTGAAAACAGGACAGTGTGTCAGTGGCTTAATTTAACTACTTTAATTAGTATTTCAAAACTTGCTACAATTAAACATGGGATTAAGATGTCCATTATCCTTCAGAGTCAAATCAACAGTTCATCCTCCAGGCTTGAACTGTTATTTTCACAGTCACCACTGACTTTGCCATGCAATGATTGTGTAATCAATTGAACTTCGTCGATTTCAAATCATTACTTTAAATCTTAAATTACCATGTTATCAAAATTATGAAGAATATGTGAACAGATGTATTTTTAGTTTGCTTGTTTATTTTATTGATATATTTTTAACAAATTGGCCCATAAGTTATTAACATTTTACAGAAAACAACTTTTATTGCCCTTCCCATAACAGCAAACCAAAGTACTAATTAAATTTAATACTATCTAAAGAAAGAACAAATTTTACATGTTTAAGGAAATATTTAAGTCAAAATCCAATCAGACAAATGGAAAGTCGCTTAGTCTGCAGGTTTGCTGGGGCGGGGAGGGGGGGGGGTATTTATTTTATCAAGTGATTGTTGAACATAAAAAACTATAAAAATTTTCAATACAAATTAATGATATATATTTAACTAAGGCTATCTTACTGTTGACCCATGGACTCTGATAACTGAGGGAAATGACCCCAAAGAAAGATTAAACAGTCATTATTGCAATGCATCCAAAATTAATCTTCACTTGTATTGTTTATCTAAAACCAATATAATGCCAACTTTGCAATTTTTTCTAAATCATTTAATAGGATATTGTTTAAGTATATTTTTATTCCATGATTGGGCTAGTATAGGTGTTTTCTGCAAACTTAAGAAAGTGAACTTCATTAAGTAAATGAACACATTTCAAATACAAAGAGTTTCTCAAGATATCAAATAAACTGTTATACTATCGTTCATCGTTATCTACCTTCTATCTAATTCTAGTGGGTTCAAACTTAAAATCAATAAAGTTTCTCAATATTTGTTGTGGCCTGATAAGAGTCAGTGGTTTTATTTTTCAACCAAAATCCATGAAAATAATACTTTAACACATTCGCAGCGGCATGGGAGCGATCTCCCATACGGAACTTTAATGCCATCCTGGTGGGTTCGATCGCTCCCAAGCTGCAATGCAGTACAAAATTATTTATTTTTAAGCCAGGATTAGAGCTAGAAACTTGACCTCGCACAGCACTGCTCAATAGTATACTGTATTTTGTTGTGGTTTAGGTTGGTAGTAAATTTCCCCGTAAAATCCCCGTCTGGCAATCTCGAAAATCTACTTTTAGTCCTGTCTTTTTCCCTCCATTTGGCAATACAATTCCAGCTACGTTCCAAGCAGTGCTGCTATTTGTGGGTGTTTAGCAAACTTTGTCGACTCTCGTTGTAAAGCAGGACATCCTCGCATGTTATTTGCTATTTGTCAGACCGAAATTGGAAAGCCAATCACACGCGGGAATCGGGTTTGTTCGACGCTTTGGGCTGCGCCGCACTGGGAATACCCGCCATTTGACGTGCCGCCGCGAACGTGTTAAGCAAGCTGTGTTTAGATACTTTCTCTTCCACAACTAGTAGACATCGTCATAACATGGATGTAGAAGTAAACCTAATATTTTGAGTACAAAAATAACGTAAGGCTTTTTAGCAGAAGGTCCAACATTAGAAATAGTAATAATAACAGAGTTTGGACTTTTTGCTTAGAAAACGCATAAAAAATTTCATTTAAACACAAATAATCATAATTGCTAAATATTTATGACTACTTTACTACAAGCACTGAAACTGTGCTTTAAGTTCCTCTGAATAACAGAGAGTATAGAAATTGAAATGTGATGTTTGTTGTCTAGTACGGAATCCACGACATGATCGGCCCTCATGAAGGAGGCCCTAGCGAAGGCCACATTGAAGAACACAATCATCATCATCACATTCACAAACACAACGGACAGAGCAGCGAAGAGGAGAGTCAAGAGAGCAAAGAGAAGTCATCCTCCGGCCACAGCCATCATCACCATCATTAATCATCGAAACAAGAGCCATCATAATCATCAAAGCCACAAATATTATCATCATTAATAATTCAGGGAGGCTACACCCAATAACATCATTAAAAATACTAAGGCTATAGCTATCACTATTTATCTCAAATTTCATCTAAACACTTACATTAAAAGAACATTTTCTCATTTTGTCAGGTATTGAAATATTGGATTCAATTAATTACCACGTATGCCAAACGCAAAAGATTGTGAACTATTTCTTCTCTACTAAAGTGTACAAAATAATAATTTAATGTCTTTTTATAGTCATGATGTTTTGCGTCTGCTATATTTGTGGGATACTCAAATCCAAGTCAATGACTTTGTAAAAAAGTTACTTAGCCTAATGATTTTTCACCTTTTAGTCATAAACATTATATCCTCTAGTTTTCTTACAGCAAAAGCAGGCTGTATTCAATTTTATTTTCATTCTCTTAAACAGGTTATTCTGTTGTGACATTGTTGCATGTTCCTCCCTTCTCTGTTCCATAAGTAACCCAACAATCTTTTTTTTAATTATTAGCCACAAAATCTGTCCTATATAAAGATTCTATTCTTATGTTGAAAAATTAATCATATTTTACATTCAATTTAATCGTTTAAATAAAAAAAAACCAAAATTGTGCTAAATACCTATGTTCACTAAAATTATATATAGAGAGGGTTTTTAAAACACTCTGCCATAAAAAAAATAAATCTATTTTGTATCCGTACCAAAACAAGTGTATAATTTTCCTGTTTTCCTCTTCCATTATTGTTTTTGGTGTGATTAGACATGTATTTGTGATGAAGAAATCTTATCACAGCCAAACAAAGATCAGAGTCAAACGGAAAAGACAAACACTATTGTTAGTGGTTTTCTAAAATACGAGTCAGACCCAGAATATCTTAAAAACACAGAGGTAGCTGCCCTCTTGTAGATATTTGTTTAAAGTACAGTGTACTTTCACTAATCCAGTCCCATATCGTAGCTCTGCCAAAGCTGTGTCTTTTATGAGACTACCTACTATGTTACTTTTCTTTCAGAAACTAAAAATGTGTGGATGAAAAAACCCGAAATATTAAAAAATGTTTGGATCACCATTAATCTTAGGACTAGATTTGAAAGTAATTTCCTGAGGCCTAGTCAACGCTACATTTTTTAAGTAACTAAGCTTTGCATTTTCAAATGTTTTAGACTTATAATAGTTTAAGAAGATGTACACAACTTGGTAAGGATAAAATGACTAAAAAAGAATTTTCAAGTGTATATTTATAATTATAATACTGGTGTAAATCTAATAACAGTGTTCAATAGAAAAAAAATCATCAACAAACAGAATACTTCTACAATGTTTACTTTTAAAGGAAGTAAATAAATTAGACGTTAACTATTTTTTTATATTTTAAAATCACTATTCCTTACTAAAAAAATATAAAAAATAAATTCTGAATGTTTTTGGAAACCTGGTTGTTCTTCATTAAACTATAACATCTTTGCAGCTTTGAAAGCTGTTCAAAACTTTTTGTTTCACTATAATCTTGATAGCAGTTTTGCTATACTGAAATCGCTAAAGCTAACCTACTCTACGTTATAGCTCGTTATCACTTACTCTACAGCAAACAGTCATGTACTCATTGAGTACAGATTAATCACAGCCAAATAAAAATTGAACTAGCAAAAGTTACGTTTTAGGCGGAGTCATGCAGTTTCCGTCAGGATAGCGTTTCCTGAAGGCTTCTATTAGTTCAGGATCCACTAAGCGAACTCCTTCTACTTGGTTACCCAACGTGATCCTGAAATAGGGAAATCTGATGAACAAACTAAACTATCAACCATACTTAGCAGGTTTACACTTTAGATCCTTAGTGGAAATACACCTCTGCAAGCTTTCATGAATTCAGGCCCACACCTGATAAACAGTTGAGCACACATCAATAGTGATTTTTTTATGCAATGATATTCAAAAGACAATATATCTATCTAACATCCCATAGTTTTATTTTCTACTGAAAAAATGTAGCCTACTAGAGACTAAAAATAAAACAGTGAACAAAATAACAAATGCAGTTTGTAGAGTTAAAGTTCTTAAGGTAGGCCTTGGTAATTAAATGAGTACACAGATAGAGCAAGTCAGATATACATATTTCTATTTAGGTTGGAATAAATTTCTATTTTATTTTTTTCCATTTCCATAGCTTGTTAAAGAGAACACATTAAATTACTTGTTTACATAAATCCAATGTCACAGTGCTAACTGATAGACATATGTGTGTGTCTCATAAATACTAAGTGAATAAAAAAACTAAGTGTTTCTAAAAGTGTTAAACAAATTTAAAATCAATTGCCAACTTAGTTTTGTCACAGAGAAGTAAAATACAGAGGATAGGCCTACAAGCCTATGGGATAACTGTGCGCTTTTAGCTCTGGTTTGTTGGGGCAAAAATGTGAAAGTGTTGAGTAAGGAAGACCCTGAGCGGCGATGGCTACATGTATAGCAATTGTAGCGCACAGGGTCTTCCTATCGCGTGAACGCTGTAGAAAGAGATGTCGAGAGGGAAAAGGAGAGCAGAAGGAGACGAATAGAATTTGCTCTAGACACCCTTGACTGGTACTAGACACCACTTAAGTGTACCATTGAATGTATCCTCTGTTTCTTACTTCTCTGTGGTTTTGTTTAACTGATCTAACAATTACATTGCATTTTCATCATACAATCTCAGGTTTTCACAAAGTAACAATTCCCATATACTTGTAGAAAGTTCTAAATATCTGAATATTTGCTGTGAGCTTGGAATCCCTCCAACACATTTAAGAATAATAAACAATTTACAAAAATATTGCAACTCCAAACTATGCAGGCCAAGCTTTTTAAGCCACTCTGCGCTGACAGGTGTTAAGTGACACTGTGCAACTCACGCTGATGGCTCATCTTTAACTGGTAATTTACTCAATTCAGTTGGGCCTAAATTACATTTTTTTTTTTTATCATTGGTTTGGATTAAAGAATTACAGTAGACCCCCTCTTAACCGACCCTAATGGGACCGGACCTAGGTCGGATGACTCAAAAGGTCGGTTAAAACGGGCAATCCCTAAAATCATAATATAATGAAGTGCTATTCATTTGGAATCATATAATCATTATTTTGAAGCCATACTTGCATTATTTATAAAATAAACTACTCTTATCTCCTTTTTCGTATTGACAGAAAAGTCACAAATAAACACAAAACACGGTTAAGTCAAATAGGCCTACTTTCAGTGGAATATATTATAATACTAGGCAAGAGTCAATACAAATTAATCAATAAAAATATTTCAATACCGTAACTTTAGTACTGTAATGTATTAATTGATACAGTAAAGAACTTTTTGTCGAAATTAAAGATGCAAGCAACCATTTTCAGGGTGTCCACAAAAAATTTGTCATTAATTTCCATGACTTTCCATGACTATCCATGACCATTTACCATTGATTTCCATGACTCACGAACTTTACACGCAAATTATAATATAACATACACACACAAATAATACTGCCTGGACATGTTATTTTGCAGAAAATACTGAAATAAGTAATAACAGTTAATAATGGAGTACGATAGGTACAACAATGAACTAAAACAAACCGAAAACTCATGAAATAATACAACTGTAATAAATTGAATTGTTGAACATTTGTGAAAAATCCTGAAAAATGCTACAACAGTCCGGGTTACGGCTGACTAGAGCATTGAATGGTCTCCTCAAATCCATCCATAACTGGAAATTTCCATGACTTTCCATGACTTCTTGCCTATTTCCCTGACTTTCAATGACCAAAATTTTTTTCCATGACTTTCCATGACTATCCCTGACTTTCCAGAATGTGGACACCCTGCATTTTGTTACAAGACAGGATGTTTATAACCTCTCAATGGAGGCTCCAGGCACAAAAACTATCTTGACCTTTGAGTTGTAAACCCCCTTTCCCTGCCCTCCCTACAAGTTGTGTTGTTTCTGTTTGTTTATTCCAGTGATAAGATAATCAGGTAACGCACACTTTATGATGTTATAAATTTGCCGTACAGATAACAAATCAGATCAGATGTGCTCGCACTACGAATGATGATGACAAACTGACAATAGGCTATGCTATAATTTCTGCTATCAATACAAAATAATTTATTCTTAGTCATATCCTGTGGAGATAAGCATATGGTTCAGTTCTCATCGCCCAGCGTGGGAGTGGAAATGCCGAGATTCCTAGAAAGCGGCGGTTAAACCGAACTGATCTCAAAGCAAGGTCGGTTAAAACAAACTGTATTATTTTACGATCGAAGGCGGATAATCCGATTATCGGTTAATACGAGGTCGGTTAAGAGGGGGTCTACTGTATATAGGATGGAGAGGACACAGCTCCCACCTGAGGAAGGGTTGCAGACGAGCCTCAGCACAAATAAATTATGAAAGAGGCGAAATATCAAGTCTTTTGTGTGTATATAATTTATTTGTCATGTGACTCGCCTGAAACCTCTCCCCATGTGAGTTAGCTGTGTCCTCTCTATCCTAAATAATTCTTCAATTCATTTAAAATCACTTACCAGTTGGGCTGAACGTTGTGAGGTCGGCCAAACAGCTCTATCTTCCTCGTGCCAGGAGACAACCTCTCTATGATGCCGTAGATCTCGTCTGGCTTGTGACTCGTGGCTCTCACCTCAGCGACTATCACATCACAGTCTAGACCTCGGTTGAGGTCTGCCGGATTGCCTTTCATGCCAACCTGAGACAGTAATAACCAGTGAATTAAACAAGTATGATAGAGTTATTTTTATATATTTAAACATCCTCCATGCTGGGTAGCTGAGTGGTTAAAGTGCTCGCCTACTAATCAAAAGGTCGCCGGTTTGATCCTGAGAAAAGTCAGTAGCTTTTTGATGGTTCGAAACTGGACCCAGCTGTTCCTGATCATTGGGCTTTAAATAAATGATCCTGGCTAATGAAACAGCTGATCTTAGTCAGTAACAAAGCTACACAGATCACCTCACACCATTCTACACTCATCCTTCACTCATATTTGGGTTAAAATACGCACCTAAGTGGCGTCCCCATCTTAATGATTGATAATTGATAATTGTAAAACAGATCAAACCATTTTTTGTTTAGGATGACAAGTTAATGTTTGCTTTTTACTTTCTTCAACCGTTTCTTTAGCCCGTACTACATTAGGTCCGATAATTACATTAGGTTATATTATCGAATAAAATTATGGTTATGATGATCTGATCAATAATAGACAGACTGATTGGCTAGCACATTGTTTAGGCCTATAAAGTATAATAAACAGTACAAAGTCCCAGTTTCAATATCAACAAAGTCGTGTTAGGTCTAACTTATAGCAAAGGTGCCCTGTGTAGCAAACAATTTATTTAGTTCACCACATTCGCTGTCAGATTTTAAAATTACGCCATACGTCAAAAATACAAAAAATACTAGGGAGTTTATTTAGCCTATGGTAACACCAGCGTAGCGTTTTGTGCTAAAGAACATATCAAAACTCTTTAAATATTTACTGAGAAATGTTTATTGCTTAGCTGTTGGGCGTCTAGTTTGCGGGACTTTACAATTCCTTGTATTGTGCCTTATGTAATTGTTTTACTTGTATTATTACTGAAATCTGAATAGTTTATACAACTATAACCTTAAAACTAGAGGTTACAGTTGACTGACTAACCAAGCAGTGCTCCTTCCCGTGGTTGAGCCAATGTCCAGTTCTTCCGGTTCGGATGATTCTCTGCAGTTGATTGGTCTTCACCCAGATGATCTCATCAACTCTCTCATAGCCCCAGAGTTTCAAGCACTCTCTCCCAAGTTCCATAGCCCTGAAAAAAGCTTTATTTGTAGACAAATCGTACAAGCTACATTGTTGAAATTTCCAAAATATTTATCACATTAACATTTCAATAACTTTTACACTTCTGTATAATGTTTTGCTAAAATATAAACTAGTGTATGATAAAGATTATAATTAGGGCCTATCTCAGTGACTAGCTGAGATTATGCCAATTAGAGAATTACAAAATATAGGCCTACATATAAGTTCAGCATGAAGACATGGTAAGATTAAGCTATCAACAGAAAGGTTCCTATAGATCAACACATTTTCTGCTGAGTGTTTGATCCAGATAATTTGAGGTTGAGTCTATTTGTAAAAAAAAAAACTTAGGGTGAAATATTTAGACATCAAAAGAGTAGTAGTATTGACTATTGAATACTGAAGTAGACGACCTATCTATATCCTAGACTAACCAACACAAGTAGATTACTCATCCCATTGTTAATTTTGAAACTTATCTTTCGTGTCTAGTTCATGTCTGGTGACACTAATCGCTAGTGTCAACGAAAATTTAGTATCTATTATTTTTGGGTTAATTAAATGATTTTTGCTTTACGGTTTGGTTATATAGCTAGGCGACGAGTTATTGTTTATGATTAGATTGTTTTATTTAGTTAAACGAGGTTTTAAATTACTGACATAAAAAGAAACAAATAGTAAACAAAACACAACCTCTATAGAACGAACAATAAAATTGGCAGGACTGTGCGAATAGTTCGAAAAACGAATCAAATCCAAAACTTTTTAGAGATTCGATTCGGATTCGAGAACAAATCTACTGTTTCTAACTGGATTCGGATTGAGAATCGATATTCAAATTTACCAGTAAGAGATCCGGGTTCGGATTCGATATTCATATTTCTTGTTCTTGGAAATAGATCCGAGTTGGGATTCAATATGCGAATTTACTAGATTCTGATTCAATATAATTTTGATCATCTGAGTTTGATTCAAAATATTGGGTCCAGCATTCAAAGATTAGAAACAAACGTACGAAAGCACCAACTGACGGCTGACCCAGCAAAATGTATTCTCCTTCAGTATTTTTCAAGCGGATTACTATGGAGTTGTTAATCGACAATTCTACAATCGACTCTTTGGTTCCGTTGTTGAATTACACTCGCTGGGTTTTCACTTCACTCGGATCAGTGTTAGTCGTTCTGTCAGTCGGTTTTAGAACCAACGGAGAACGAAATGGCGGACGTGATTGGGTTTTGTTGCTTCTTGTTTAATGTCGATTTTTACGATTGGAACCAGAACTTTGGATTGACTTAAATTTGGAGTTTAAGTTACTCTGTTTTTAGCTTGTTTGATTTCTAATTTACTGACGTAAGGTAGGTATTGCCTAAGTTGCAATAGGTCAAAATTGGACAGCTGACACTAAAAAACTACTTGTGTACTCTGATTTGCTGTTGACTGGTTCATTTTAGGAACCTGACCATAGTAAATTATAACTTGGTGTTCAGTTTTAGGCACATTAGTGTAGGTCGCATTTGAACCCTATCTTGGCTATCAGTAAACTTAACCTCACAGTGTCATTTGTTACATTTGTTAATAATTCTGAGGTGTATAGGCTAGGCCTGTTTTAGACTACACAAATTGGTAGACCATCACTTTTAGCGAGTAACTTAGGCCTAGATGGTAGGCCTAACTTATGCCCAATTTTTTAGTTTCAAAACTTCAAATAGGTAGGCCTAATTTTTATAACTTTTTTTTATTTGGACTATTTCAAAAATCTTTTGAAGCAAGTTATTTCAGCCCAGAAAATGTGGTTTAAAAATGTGAAAATTTCTAAATACTGCTGACTTTCCTCAGATTTGATAACAGCTTTAAATTTGAGACTCAGGTTCGATCCGGGTTCGATAACTGCTGTAAATTTGTGATTTGGATTTGACCCAGATTCGACTCGGGACTAATTAAAATATTCAGATTCGATCCGGATTCGATAAAATCTGTACCTAGCTATGATTCGGATTCGGATTTGAACCAACATTTCTGGATCCGCACAGCCCTGAAAATTGGCTTCAGCTGTACCATAAGGGGATGAGAAATAGGCGAGTGTGTTTTATCTATGTCTATATGTACCAGCTGTTTTCAATTTTCTATTAATAAAGGACGTAGTTGTGAGAGCCAGTCAGAGAATGCGCCAGTGACTAAAATTCTATTTTCTATCTTATTTTTTTTGCTAGCCAGGTGGATGAGTCAAACAGTTGATATAGCTCAGCATAAGTTATTCCATTGGTTTGAATTGGTAAAATTGTGTATTCGATAGAGATCTGTAATTAAGATCATTACAATCTGTTGGTGGCTCACATCAACTACAAAGATTTTGATTTTCAAACTCTCAACAAATCTAACATGGGGATGGAATGTCTAGCAGTATTAATAGTCGAGGCTACACTGGCCAAAACACAAATAGCTGAACCCAACCAGTTAACAATATCTAGGCCTACTGTGACTCTGATTGACATAAATCTGGTGATACAACTCGAAGAATTAAAACCCTCTGAGAAAATGAATAAAAATATTTTAAGTCTTAACATCTAGACCCCGATATGAAGTGTAGGTTGAGTACCTGCCTGTCACCCACAGAAAGATGAGTCCGTCGTCTTGAAGACAAGGAATGTTCAACTGTCTCATTTCATCATCAGACATAGTCCCGTAGGGGAGTTCCATGTGTATATCCCAGGGAGGGTCTGCCATGATCACAGCAAACTTGCCTGGAAACAGCCAAAAAGTACAGTAAACCCGTAGAACCTTGATAACAAGACTCTCATGGGGATAGTTAAATAAGACTTGTTATCAAGGTGGCTTGTTATTGAGGTTCCTCAGTATTGCAATTAAGTGTTTTTTTCTCAACAGAAAGAGTATTTTTCTTCAACAAAATTTATCAGTTTCAGAATTGGTTAATAATTGATGAGTGATTAATGAGAAAGACAAGTCAACAGATTGGCGGAAGAACTTTAACCTTGACTGAGACTTTTACTTGAACCTTTCAAGATAACAATTGAGTAATTTAAATTAAGGCATGAAGAAACAAAACCATAATCAATAATTTTATGCAATCAATCGTAAATTACTATCTCATTTCGGTACATTTATTCAGAGCTGCAAATACAATTTTTTTTTTTATCAGACTGTCAAATGACAAACCGTGAAGGTTTCTATCACTACAAAAGCATGATTTGTCCCGATATTGCCAATATATTTAAAATTAAAAGTCTAACTTTCTTTAAACTAGATTCATTGTTCTATATAAACTTAATTATAGTTTTTAATCCTCCTAGTCTAGTAGAATAAATTAAAGCCTCTGATATTTGTGGGCTATTCTATTAAGGCCTTACAGTATCTTAGTAGTTTGCAGCGCTAATACAGAAGGCACTATTCACAATAACCATTATAATATTATAAAGATACGGTTTTCACCACGGTAATATGGATAAACAGACTTTATTTTATTATAAAATAAGAATAAGAATATGTTTATTGTCTTTCAGGCTACATAAGCCTGAAAGTAAAATATTCAGCAGAAATGCCAAGTCACTATTATAAGTAGGCCTAAGGGTAATAACACACAAATATTACAAATATCCAAATAGGCTGGAGTACCAGCTTTTTATTAGTTTAAATAGAATATGTTTTATTATTTTTCCATGACCAAATTGTACTATTAAATATTTGTTTTTATTAAAAAATTAAAAAAATATCACTCAAATAAAATGAAAGCTGACAAAAATTTAGGACCTTACTACTTTTACTCATTAAATGTTCAATATTTACCTAATACAGTCATATCCAGATATCGAAGATCACTCTGCACCCATTGAGGAGGATACAAAATGGATGCTTCTTGGGTCAATTTTTTCATTGGTACTTTGTTTTCCTCCCCAGCACTGCTAACAAAGTCCTTTGGTAAAGGTATTGTTGGACCATCCACTCTGTAGTGTACATATCTGAAAAAGTTATAACATTGACTATTGGGTACTGAGGTGGACAACCCATCTATATAGACCGGCTGTCACCTATTTCTTTTTAAAATAGAACATAGTTGTGTGAGCCAGTCACGGAATATGCTAGCGTCTAAAATATGTCATTCCATCAGTTTTATTTGGTAAAAAAGATAATGTATTCATTGGAACTTAGTAATTTAGATCAGCACATTTTGTAGGTGGCTCATATAAACTAAGATTTTCATTTAAAATCTGGCGACAACTTTAACATGGGGACGCCACTATGTGCGTATTTTAACCCAAATATGAGTGGAGGATGAGTGTAGGATGAGTGGCGCGATCTTGTAGTCTTGTTAGTGACTAAGGCCGACATGTTCCTTAGACACTGTTAATTAATAGCCCATACAGCTAAATGGCAACTAAGGGACCTACAGTTTAGAGTGGAATCCGAACCACATTTTTTCCTCGTAATCAACAAATTCGTCTAATTATTAGGATAGTACTGCGGATAGTCGTAGTACTCACTAGCGCGGACGTTAATCCCCCACACCAGGGAGCATCGCATCCACAGTGCATCCCTATAAATATCCACAATTCGTGACCTCCTAGTAGCTGGATTACAGTACGACACCACCTCGTCTTGTATAAAGTCTATTAGTACTACAGTCTACTTTAGTAGCTTGTTGTTATAAAGATGGAAGATTTACATGAACATCTCTGAAATTTACTTTCAATTTTTAGTAAGCAAGTGTAGGCTTGTAATTTAGTTGGTTAAGTTAGTCTATAAAACACAGTGAGATCAGCTAAGGTAGACTCTGTCCTAGGCAGGTTTTAGTTTTGAGCTGCCAGAGCAATATCATCTGGATATAAAAAGTGTCTGGTGTGAGTGAAAGGAAGATCAGTCAAGTGAACATAAACTATAACCATTATATGGAGGGAGGGAAAGATCGACAGCCTTAAAAAAACCCATTTTGGAGCTGAAAGTTTCTTAACTTAAAATAAGAGAAAGGTAATTATAGATCGTGACAGGTAAGCTGGCACTTGACAGATTGCTACTACCTCCTAGTTCAAAAACATTATGTTAAGGCCCAAAATATTTCCCTTCAATGATATATAATCAACTCCTCAACTCCAATTTACATTTTTATACAAACACAAACACACACAAGAAGAAAGAATTCTGTCACACATGTAGCCTACAATAGAAGAAAGAATTAAAACTATTTTGAACATAAGATGACAAGAACCAGACACCAGTTACAAGAGTTACAATGGAATAATGAAGAAGTGAAATGAAGTAAGTGTTAAGTTAAACTTTCAAACATTTACATTGTCTTACAAAGCTTTATTTAAATTCAACTTATCAAAAACACGTGATGTCGCTCAAGTACATGAATCACGGGGAGTCAACCCCGTGAGTCAGCAGGAATGTTTGCAGCAGTCCGGTCTTTAACAATGGCACAGAAGTGTTAGCTTAAGTGTCACGAGCTATGTCTCGCTAAACACAGTTTAAGTATTCTCAGATATACTGGACAAGATTGTAAAAAGGGGTGTGCGAGCGGCAACATTTTTAGCCAAGCCTAGCCTAGATGCTTAAGAGAAGACCATCAAGTTAAAAAATCAAGTTAGAACACAGCTTTTACGATCACGATCACAGTGCCCGAGATAGCTGGATATGTTTATCATTTCACCTGAATTGCAAGAGACTGCAATTAGGTATACAAGTACAATATGTTTTAGGCCTAATACAAAACTATTTTAGTATAAGAGTAGGTAATTTTTTAACCAATGCTTTCCAAGGCAGCCAAAAACATTTAATACCTAACCAGAAAGGTTCTAAACCCATCTAGGTAACCCATCAATACTTCATTTCCATTTCAAATTCAACTAAATTTTTTACATAGATAATGATAAACACGTGCAAATATTATTAGGATTCAACACTATTGGTTTAAAAAAACAAAACAAAAAAAAACTAAGATTTAATTGGCCAGATGGTGCTCTGTTTTTAGCATTAAAATAGCTGCGACATCTTTACAGGTAGCATCATTGTAACAAGGTAAGTCACTTATTTTGTCTCTTACTATGCACATAAGAATCTTTATAATTTTTCAAACACAGACATAAAAATCTTACTTGCAAGTGTCCATATGAAAACAGGTGTTCAGGAAAGAGCAGTCCCCTAGTGTTTCGTCAGTGTGTTTTTGGATGATCTTTTTGAAATGTAACTTCTTGCACGTCTCCTGTCCCATCTTGGCGCATTCCGCTCTTGTACCGTGTGGACAGAACTCCATCACCTGTGCCCCACCTTGAGATCTGAATCTTTCTGCGAGCGACCTTTCTTTGGCTGTAGGCTGACTCAACAGAGCCAGTATCTCTTCGCCAAGCTTTTTGTTTTCCTTTTCTTTGATTGAAGGCATCGAAAGAAGAGACTGAAAAGTTAAGAAAGAAATGTTAACAACAATGCAAATGCACAATAAAATATGCAAATAATGCATGCAGACTACTAATACGTTCCTCCTCAAGAAGGTGACTTCCTCTTACCAGATTGTAAGGGTAAAGATATTTATTTTTTCGATGAGTTATAGGAAGTAATGTTAATTTTTGCATTGGTTATACTAATGAAAGATCGTTTTTTCAACACTACTAGATAGATAACCTGTTGCTCGAAATCGAGCAAAACTGCAACTTGTAATAAAATATTGAAGAACAAAAAACATAAACAGCAAAACCTCAATCAAAGAGTCACACTCTAATGTAATTTCTATGAATGATTATAGAAATGTGAAAAATGTTATTTTGTAAAAATAATAAAAGTAATCTACGGTACAATATTTAAATATAGATCCGTTCTCTTACTGCTATGGTTATCTCTTATGTACTGTAGGGGGGTGCCCTCTATGAGAACGTAAATGTCAACACACACTGTAAAGTGAGCTATTCAGACCTAATGTAAGCAAGCTAAATCCCTCTCTTGACGCCAACCAGTACAACACATACTATAGCATTGTTAAATGATTTCTAAGATATGTTCTGTTTTAAGCTTTGTTCTAGTTTCCGTGTTTAAATTAGGTGCCTCAACCAAAGTCTTCGGTTGGGAACATAGGAGTGGATTTAACGACATACCTAGAACAGATTCACGTTCAACACTATTGGTTTAAAAAAACAAAACAAAAAAAAACTAAGATTTAATTGGCCAGATGGTGCTCTGTTTTTAGCATTAAAATAGCTGCGACATCTTTACAGGTAGCATCATTGTAACAAGGTAAGTCACTTATTTTGTCTCTTACTATGCACATAAGAATCTAACTTGACTCCTCAGTCCTCGGAGCTCTCATCCCTACAAATTTCTATTTTTTCATTGCATTTTTGTTATTGTTTTACATGCACTGTTAGGTTCCAGTGCCAACGTCGTTTTTATAGATCTGTGCGTATTCAGGATCATGACCTTCTTGAGGAATTTGATTACCTACACGGTGGTAAAACTTGTCATGGATCTTAAAATTGTAGATCCCCTGTATGACCTGCTCGTCAAAATGTGCTTCAGAGCTGACCATGGCAAAGGCGGAATTGAATTGACGAAATTTTATCCAGATAATTTCTGAATCCAAGCCTCACAGATTGGGAGTTTCCAAAAAGTTCCTGAAAGTATGGTGAATTCCGCAAATGAGGTAAACGAACCTTTCATTTAAGGCAACAAAGAGTAAAAATATAATGTTCATTTGTCCAAGATTGGATGTATCACCGGCGGTACTGCCACTCTGTATCTGTCAAATTGGGAGGTTGATGCAAGCGGTCACGTTTGCGTTCCCTCCAGCCACTCACACTTCTTCGTCTTACTGGTGGTATTTAATTTTAAATTTAAATCAAATACGAAACTTAACCAATCAACAGAAAACACTACAAAGGAATTTTGGTACATATTGTAAATTACACGATAACATGGTAATGTAACGGGTAACTGCACTGTGAATAATCACTTTCAAACATTCACTTAATCACACAAAATTGTAACCAAAACTACATGATAATTCAGTAAAATACAATTTAAGGTAAATAAATTCAACTAGGCCTATTACAAACAATTTGTTGTCAGGTCTTGCTAGGAAACTCTTTATTTATGAACCAGACTTAGTTAACAGATGTTAAAATAATAATCTAAAATTCCTGCTTTTCTCTGGAAGTAATAAGTCCTGCAGTCTGTGGTTCAACTTAAAAACTATTTCAAACTACGTCCATATGTTTAGTTGTAAACAAAGGGAATTGAGTTTGATGGTTTGATCTAATGTCAGCAGATAGCGCCGCCGTTTCCAAACTTTAGCCCTTAACTGTACTTAAGTGATGCCTTTAATTTTACGAGACATATTTGCACATCTACGTGAAAATACCTTTAATTTGACACCTCAAACATTAAAATCAAACGTAGCGAACTCAAACTTCAACCAGGACGTGATTGAGCCATGCGAACAAGATCATCTTGAAAATTAAGAAGTTAAACGGGGCAAAGCCCGCGGGTTACAGCTAGTAATATATAGAAGATTTATGTATGTATTCTATGCTACAAGCAAATAAAGATTCTTTCAATTTGAATTTGAAAGTATGACACTGGCACAACAAGCGACAAGCTAAACAACGTCTCCCGGCAGGGGCTAACCTTGCATTGGAACAATAGGCCTATAGTCCTCGCCACCCTAACTTGAGGCAGCCCAAGGCCGAACTAGATATACGGCGTGCGGCCTTGGGCTGCCTCAAGTTAGGGTGGCGAGGACTATAGTTGTAAACGGCATGCCACTGGAAACCGCTAGTGGTGAGGAGATTACTCATCATGTCCAGTGAACGCGTTAACCAGTGGATAAGCAGAAAGGCTACCTCGACACAAACGGCTACACTCGTAAAACCGTCTTAAAGGATTAGATGAGAATGAAAAAGCTTTAGAACCTAGACCTAATTGAAAAAATAGTTTCCAGTTTCTCAAAATCACATACAACCCACTCTTACCATTATATCCGTTGTTTTCTTCTCTCGTGTTTTTTTCTCATCCTTCTCCACCGCTTGCTTGGCAGTTTTCGCTGGTATCTCTCCATTCCCAGGATCCACCTCTTTGCGTTTCTTGCTCTTATACTTGATGTCTGGCTCGTGATGGCTGGACTTGCTCTGGTCTAACGTTATCTCATTGGCCATGTCCATGAGCTTAGCATGTTCAGCCGTCACCACTTCCAAAACTGTCTTGCCGTCTTTAGACCCCTCCTTTACACTGTGGGGCAGATTACCAACTTAAGAGACCTAAATGACATCTAATTAATATTAAATTAGAGATATTGAGGAAGAAAGGACTAAATTACTAAAAGTAGGCACATTGCTAAACTTAGCCACCAACAGAGTGTGGTGATGTCAATTATTGAATTCTGTTGAATTGGCCAACACAACATAATGAACCAAATCAAATTGAAATGATAACTTACTGTAATGAGCATATTTTATAACACATCAAATACAGCTAGAACCAAAAAGTGGAGAAAATTTAATTCTGAAAGCGGTTTGCTGCAAGAGTGGTTCATTTAACTATGCTTTATTTAAATTTAACAAAAAATAGCTACAAGCACCCCTCTCATCAACTGCTGTTCATTCATTAGTTCCATGTCTTCTTCATCATCAAAAAGTAAATACATAGAACCCCTCATATCCGACCTCAGAATAACGGAATCCTCAGGATATCCAACGTAGTGTCCGCTGTCTACTTGTTTCCTGTCTGGGAGGGTGGGATAATGCAAATCAGATGTTGCCGAAGTCGCAAGTATTGCCGCGGGTGCGAGGGGCTGTTACCGAAGTCGCGGAGACTGCAAGTTACGCTCATGCTGTTGTCACGGTCGCGGGAGACGATTACCGATGTAGCGGAGATATTTTTGGTTCTACTGTACCATACATCAACTTACGTGATGAGCTGTTGGGTGGCAAACTTGAGCAGTAGGTTGGTGAGCACATCGTGAGACACAGGTTTGTTGTCCAGTCGCTTGGCTACAGCAGAGCACAATCCCGTGGATGTCATAGGTAGAGTGAGCGACACTTCACACAGCACTGCTAACAGCTGCGCCTCTACGCTGGGATCTGACTTTACCAGGTCACCACCAGGGGGCAAGGAGTTGGAGTCCTCTTGTTCATCTGCCAACAGTAAAGTAGGTTTAAATAAAAGTACAAAAAGATAGAGCTATCATCATAGAGCATTTTGCTTTAACTCATTAACATGTACTGTATCAAGTAAGGGCATTTTCAATATTACAATATAAACCTCTTTTGAATGCACTCTGTTATAGAGAAACTCAAATCAATCAAAACTGTGATAAAAATTCAAATAATTTTGAAAGTTACCTAGGTACCGAGAATCGTCAGCCGAGGCTAACAAAATGCAATGGAGCAGAGGACGACCGTGTTAGATATAATTTTAAAAAACAAACTGTCGATTGTTTTAAGACATACATTCGGAATATAGTTATTTTAGGCTACACAATGTGTTAAATTCCAAACATCATTGTTTAACCATCAAAAATTGGTTCGCCGTATAGTCGGTGCGAATATAAAAGGTATATACAGTACAGTATGTTTATTCTTAAGTTAGCTCAGAGTAGTATAGCGTAAAATATCGTACCTCACTCATACAAAATGTGTTTACCAGACTCCTATGGTAATCCCGCACTCGACTTCGTCTTGAACAGGAACGACCACACTCTTGACTACAGCTTGATACTGTACATATTCGATACTTATGTTGTCAATATTCCATCGTATTAAACAAGCATTGGTATCGATACTACAGTTCCAATATGGTATCGATACCAAATACCAAAAGGTATTTGGTATTCTCTTGGTGGTATCGAAGCGTCCTTAGGCCTGATTTAATCTGATTAGGCTTAGGATATCAAAATTCAACAAAAAACTTACCTGCTGGACCAGCTGCAGAAAGGTTCAATATGTCCTGCCTTTTTTTTTTGCACTTTTGAGGTTTTTCTCTCAAACTGTTTTGTCCAGTAAACACCTATTTTCAGGACTAGTAATGACAATATACTATTACAGTTTATCATATTTAGTAATATGTCAGTGGCGTAAGGCTTGGAAAGTTACCACTTGTTCTTGGGAGGAGTAACAGGACATGGCTCTATTAATGATGTTGCAGTCTACTGACAGGGCCAGATTCCCCTATAGGCCCAAGAGACCCGGGCCTATGCGCACAAGCCCCCAGGCGGTGCACGGCGAAGGGGAATTTTTTAATTATCTACTAATAAAAATAAATAGCCATAACTAAACATATTTTGCAAATTGATTTTGGAAAAATCTGGCAAATAAAGCATTTTAATTTTTAAGCTCATTAGAAGAAATAATTAATTTTTGGTAACTAGGAGCAACTGAGGAGGATGCAGAGGATAGGGCAAGATGGAGAGGCTTTGTTGGTGCGGCCAAATATCTTCTTATATATGCATGGCCCTAAGAGTTAGAGTAAGAGTAAGAGTAAGAAGAATTAAATGTCAAACCCTAAACTCAAAAGCAGTGTTTGTGTTTACTGTTTACATAATTTGTGATTGAGATTGATGTTGTTAAAAAACCAAACAACAAAGCAATTTAATTTTTTTGTTGAGTTTGCACTCTTACACCCAACGTCTTTTTAGTGAATCTCCCATATAGGGAATAAGCTATGGTAAGACCTGGACCCGGGACCGAATTACTTTTTCGTTTTGAGGTCCCTTGAGGCCATAAACCAAGATGCATGGAGTAAAAGAGGTGGGCCAGACAGAGCGCGCCCCTCTCCCCCCCTCGCCCATCGGACTGAGGCAGTGACGTCACTGCAGTCCTCGAGCCGCTACTCACAGCCCGTACACAACACTTTTAGATGTTATTTTGCGCTGTTTACGCCAGTTTGTACTACGCAATTGTTAAAATTGGAGATATACAAAATAAAAGTAGCTTTTGGTAATGTACAATCATCATCAGATTAGTGTAATTAGGAATGGAGATTTATATTTTTATGAATGGAAAGAAAAAACATTTGAAATAAAAACACTTTATTTACAAAGTGTATCTCTCACCATTGGACATGCAATCAGATACATGTATAAACACATTGAGTTGTAGAGTTCTTGAAATCTTTTACTTACTCTTAAATTTAGTACTGACGATGACGTTTCTTAGTTGATTGTTTTTGATTTTTTGTTGCTGTTCATTTGTTTTTGCCTGATTAAAAAAACTTCAATATCATTAGACTCTACTATTCTTCTTTGAGCAAATAGCTCAAGGCGGTCTAGAGGTAAACGATGAACTTTATGGCGTAATGGCTTAATGTCTTTACTTTCTTAACAGGGTCATTTATTCATATCAAAGCATTTTAAATAGGCCTAGGTAAATACCTATTTAATTTTCGATTTAAAAAATTCCTTTTCCAAACTCTCAATTTTCATTTAGCCTACATTGTGGTGTTTTATTATTACAACACAGCTTGCACAACTTTTTTGTTTCCCCGGTAAAGTTTTCTCAATTTTCGTTTTGTAGAACATTCCTCCACATCACTGCGATAATACTGTGTTCAGTAGACACAAGTTTCATTCAGGGCTCACGAATGTTTAACATTCCCCAAACTCAATAATCATGAAATTAATTCCTTTAAACATCTTCAAAATAAACAAATATAAAAATGATTGAAATCCAAAAATCGTTTCTTTTGCACATTTCAATAAAGACAAAGCATATTTTGTTTGCGAATAAAATATGACTCTTATGTCGGATTGAGTTTTAGTTTTAAAATAGGTAACTGTCATTATATATATAGGTAGCATTTTTTATCTCAGAAAGTAAACTCGTATAAAAACACCGAACAACGTGCACTTACATAAAAGAGAAAATCCTCTTAACACGAAAATAATAAAGTCTAAAATGAAACATATGTTTATACATACGGAATTAATATTTTTCTTTAAAAGTACCAGTGAAACAAGCTTTCCTCGGGGAAAATCATTAGTATTCTCTGAGCGTATTCTTTGGTCAATGCCATTTATCCAAACAGATTTTTGTGGTCTATTTAATTCCTGTAAAATAGTAATACAGTATCGTAGTTGACTTTGATTTGTAAGCAACATTTATGATTCTCATGTAAACTATTAAATAATTGGTTGTTGTTTTTTTTTTTTTTTTTTTTTTTTTTTTTATCAACAAACCCAAATAAGTTTATCATTAAAAAGGAAAAAAAGAAATAAAACATGAAAAAGGATGGCGTTTCATTTATAACTAACACCAAAAAGCAGTTGAAGTAACTTTTAAACAGGCAACTTTTTCACCTAGTGCTAAAAGATATTATTAACTGACCTGAAAAAGGGGAGTGTTATATCTTAATCTAAAATAATTCTTAAGTGTAATATCAATCCAACTGAATCGGTAGACGCCCGCATTTCATCACTTTCTATGCAACATTCAGGCCTAATTGGTTATTTACTATTGTCAAACTGTTCACAATTCATGTTTAGTTCAAAATCATAAAAATCATTATTTAGTACACAAAGATATTTGTGTCATAACGGTAAATACCTCCTCCAAACCAGCGTAAATCGTGTCTGAAAAAGTAAGGTTTGTGCGTTTAGCATGTATCTAGCGGCGAAGCAGCCGCGGCCGGGACTGCAGTGACGTCATCGCGCGCAGTCCGCTCTGTCTGACCCACCTCCTTTACTCCATACATCTTGGCCATAAACACCAACCGTTCAAATTCATATATTAGCCTATATATACAAACACACACACAAACTTTCAGATTTTTTTTGTGTTTTTTTACGTGTGTTCTGTGTTTTATGTTTTAAATTGATGACGAATCTGAGAAGAGGATATACCCGAGGATGTGGCAGTCGCCACGAAACATGTAGTTATCTACCAACACTAAACAGGATATTGTAAGGTAACAAAATAATTTAATTAATATAAAGCAATATATCCAGAAGTAGGACAATGAATTCTAATAAATGTAAAACACTTACCGAGTACTTTTATCGTGACTGGTGAAGATGCACTGCTCCCGTCAGCTTCAGGCTGCAATATCTTGTTCAGAGGTGAAGCACTGTTATCTAAAATTTCATAAGTCAATTTTAATATAGGGAATAACCATGTACCGTTAGTGGCACGGTAAGACCTAGAACCTGTTTTTTTATTATTTTAATGTCCCAAGTAGTTAAACTACATGTTCAAATTTGTATATTATGTAGGCCAACCTATATAAAATTATATTGTATCTGATAGCTATATATGAGTGTGTCCGTGAACGTGATACAACTAGAGTTATTTTGGTCAAATTTTTTTATGAAATTTCGCTAAAAGGTGTTTGCTGGGATAAACTACATTTTTTTTTAATTTGCTTGTGTAACTTAGGTTATGGATAGACCTAAATGTTGATGAAATTTAGTTTAGCAAATTTATTTAGCCTTATTTTATTCTAAACTGTTAACATTGTCTTAGTAAAACTTTAAAAAGTCTTAAAATTTTCAAAAGTCAATGATCCATTGCATTCATGATACATCATTACTGTTAATATTTTATAACATTTCAAGTAATAAATGGCATTAGAGTAAAAAGATAGCTTGATACTGTACATACGATACTTGTGTTGTCGATACTCCATCGTATTAAACAAGCATTGGTATCGATACTACAGTTCCAATATGGTATTGATACCAAATACCAAAAGAGTGGTGGTATCGAAGCGTCCTTAGGCCTGATTTAATCTGATTAGGCCTAGGATATCAAAATTCAACAAAAAACTTACCTGCTGGACCAGCTGCAGAAAGGTTCAATATGTCCTGCCTTTCTTTTTTGCGCTTTTGAAGTTTTTCTCTCAAACTGTTTCGTTTGCTTTTAATAGCTTGAATTTCTTCCCAAGCATCTGACATTTTTTTATGTGCTGCTACGTCCACCTAGGCTATAATTTAAAAAGTTTGTGAATACCCTATTTAATTTCTATTACCGAGACTGATGTTACATTTTTGTGTGCCTAACAGTAACAGCAAGGAATGAAATTTTTAACAACCAGGCCTATTTATATTTTGTATGAGTATGCATATTTTGTACAAATTTATACTTAGGCCTAATAATTTGGCGACAAGGAAGAAAATGACTGAAAAATACAAGACCTTAAATCTTATAGGCCTGCTCTGTCTGAATTTAATGTGTATTTGAAGGACAAATTTGTTTTCCCCTGTTTTCTCCCTGGCCCCTGCCACCACAACATATTAGCCTACAGCTGATTCATACTGTTTAAAATTTTACAACAGTTGTCACTTTGTTTACATTTTAGTAGTAGGCAACAAAACGATTGTGATTATTCTGATGGTATTTTTTGCAGTTTAATATTATTCAGTCTGTCTTTAATTGATTAGTTTTAACTAGTGTACATGTTGCTCGAATTCGAGCAATTGCAAAGTATTACAGGAGTTATTTTAAAACGAATAACAGTCATATTTACCATTAATTTAAAAGAGTCAACTCAAGATTACCGGTGTGTAGCTCAGACTATTTTTATCTTCGTTATTGATAAACCTAAAGCATTCGATCCTGCCGGTTTTCTCCTTCTCAAAATGCCTCGCTGTACAGGCAACACAGGTCATTGATAGAGGGCGAATTGAGAACGAAAAGTCGTTTTGGGGTAGTGTTAGGGCGCATTTGTAACCTAATAGTTGAGATTGTCCAGGGTCAGGTGCTGACTGTGATGAGTTAAGCCTATTACGCGCCACTGTTCTGTAGCTGCGGTCGTTATCACGATTACGCCTCCTGTCTATGTTTCGTTGTCGTCACGTCGGAGGCATTTAAAAGAAAAAAACAACAAATAAACAAATTATAGCTACACAAAACAACGATAAATGCCCAAATTTAAGTTACAATCATACTAACACGGTCCTTCAGGGACAGGGACTAAATACCGGCAGGGAGCAATCAGAAGGATTACTCAAATCGTTGTACTCGTAAATTTCCGCAGTTTCATGCGTCACCAAATCACTTTTTTTCCTTCATTGCTAAATACCACTTACAATCACTAAATTTGAGTTTTGGATGTTTCGATGCAATTAGGTTTTTTTTCTCTCTCGATCTTGTTAATATTTTCTTATTTACTATCATCATTAAGTGTCTAAGTACTCCTGAATGTTTATGGACCTGTGTATAGCTGTATTAGCAACTCATTCCCAAACACAGACGGATAGTCTACTTGGGATTTATTTTTCCTGTATACACAATTTTGAACAAACATGTAACATTAATTCAGGAATAAAGAGATTTTGATTTGATTTGATTTCATTTCATAGCAACACAAAACAACGATAAATACACAACTTTAAGATACAACCATACTAACACGATCCGTCTTGGGGGTTATGTTTACATAAACTCAAATAGTAAATAAATGTACTCAATGCGTTTCATTGAATTGAAAAATAACAGCAATTAAATTATACAGCTGACCAAAATGTAAACAATTATGTTCTCCATAAGGATTACATGGGAACTTTCAAAGCCACTGGGGCAGAGCCCAAGGGACTTTTTCAAAAATGTAAGGCCAGTTTGCAAATCTACGCGACACGCTCTTTCCAATGAGACGTCAATGGATAAAATCTGTTAAGAAAAAAATGGCGGAGGAGTTCAACCGACAAAGTTTCATGTAGGCCTAGCGTATTAATTATATAGATTAGAAATGGCCAAAAGGTGCCAAGACATTACAATTCAAACTAAAAACACAATTTTTAGAGTGTACAATTATTTAAAAAAACATTTATTATAAATCTGCAGGATGACACTAACTCTGATTGCTTAAGCGAAGATGATGGTGAATATATACTTTCCAGTTATGAGAGTGAATGATGTAATGGAACGTCTCCGGTACTTTTTAAAGTCCACATTACAACTAACATTTGTTAAATTTACATCATTGTGTTCATTTTGTGGTTTAATATATGTTTAAAAAATCAAATTAAATTTATATGTTTTTACGAGATTTGTTTTCTATTTGGTGTGTACTAAGGCATATTGGCCTTTTATTATTAAGGATTTGAAATATTTATACAATTAGTAAACGAAAAAAAAATTCAAAAACTTTAATATAGCTGTTAAACATACAAATGGTTTAATTTGTGTGTATCTCCAAACATAACTCGTTCATTCAAATAGTATGATCAATTTGTTATGTTAGTTTATCCTCAGTAAAAGAAAATTGAATACTCCTACTTGTCATTAACCTAGCAAGTTTAATGTTGTACACTGATTATTCAGGTATAAACAGGATAACCCAATGGTTTTCATCCTGATCTGACCTTAGGGCTCCGCTAGAGACATTGACAAAGTTCCTATTACCGACGGTATTAAAATAATAACTAAATAAAGAAGTGAAGAATCGCTTTAGAATTTTGAAACCAGTTCACCACGAAACAATTTTATGACATTAATGACACAACAGACAGGGCCGCCTAGGTCAAAGCAAAGTTCCATCAGTGAACTTACTACAGAAAAACTCCAATAAAAAGTGTGCCAAAAAGTGTTGGTACTATTTATCACCTAAGAGAAATAAATAAATTCAGTCACCACGGCCTAACTTAACAGAAATATTGGTCAGTGGTAATGCTACAATTTTTTTAATCAGCTCAGCTTCAAGCATTCTGCAAATGCCCGTGTGCTCCCGCTATCTCCACGTTCCACCACCTCCAAACCCAAATCTGTCCCGCCACCCCTGAATTCTTGAGTGACCCTTATAATCCCGTCATTGCCTGCGTTGGTAGCTGTCATTGCATCCACGGCTGCAAAACCCCGTGGATGGAAAATTTGATGAAAATTTAACCCATGGGTTAAGTTAGGTTAGGTTAGGTTAAGTTAGGTTAGGTTAGGGTTAGGTTAGGTTAGGTGAGGTTAAGTAAAGTTAGGTAAGGTTAGGTTAGGTGAGGTTAAGTAAAGTTAGGTAAGGTTAGGACGGGAAGTCTTAACGCAGGTAGTAATCGAGGATTATAGGGGTCACTCTGAAATTCGGAGGCGGCGGGACACGGAGGTGCCGGGACGCGGAGATAGCGGGAGGTAACCCAAACGGCAAGGTGACAATTCATTGCACCAGGAAACCCCTAGCTACAAATATTTTGTCAAACACTGAAGACAAACCTGAGATGCATGCAGTTTGAACAGGGCACTTAGCATGAAAAACTATGTGCAATATTATTTCGGTACCGAGCTACCCCACTACTGGTGCATCCCAAGCACAATTTATTTTTGGCAGGAACTTGAGAACCAAGCTAGATCTCTTAGGGCCTAGTGAAGATGACAAAAATATGGCTCAAAAACCAATATTTAACAAACATTACAATATTGGAGAGAAAGTATGTCAAGAAATTACATAGTATCCACACTGGGAAAATTTGGAACTATGGTGGAAAGACTGGAGCGACTGGGAGATGACCAAGAGCCCAGACCTTTGTTTGGGTTAATCCCCTGATTTATGGCCTGAGGGTAGTGGTCACTGGAGGAGGGGTGGGGAATCGAGAATCCTGAATCCCACCGGAGGCGTTAACTTTTTGTAAAAGATTTCGCTTAGAATGCGATTAGGCCTGCTTCTTAGCTGTACATCTTTTGTTCGAATTTAAGGCATTTATAATTTTATTTTATGAACATAACTAATTTATTTTTTGATTAGTAACTTAAACCTTTATTCGATATTTTCATTATCAGCAAGTTTGGTTGGTTTGGTTAGGTTATGACGGTTTAATTTTATAATTTAAAAATTACCTATAAAATTGAAATTTAGGCATTTGTAATTTTATTTTGTGAACAGTACTATTTTTTTATTAATAAGCTTTCATTCGATTTTTCATTATCAGCAATTTAGGTTAGGTTAAATGACAGTTAAATTAAATTTAAATCTAACCTACAAACGATACCTACGTTTTGACAGCGATAGTCATTGAGCTAGCAATTTGCCGCGAACAGTTCGGCTATGCACGGTATGATGCGGAAGCGTTCAAAACCAACCTAGAACTGATAGCTCAACCGACCGTGATTAAGAGGATTACAGCCTGGATCATGTGCCTACACCCACTACGACGTCACTACCTCATAGCACTTGATGATGGGTATGCAATAAAGCGGCTCCTTCAATCAACTTCGAGCTTGTGTAGTGCCAAAAGATTCTACTCGTTACAAAAGCCTTCTACCTAGCTCATTGACACAAACAAGGCAAGGAAGTCCAAACAACCGATGTGAAACAATAGCCAAAGTACCTCCTAAGCAAGCACATCGAACTTAAATATTAAAAAATAAGTTAAGACACCAATAAAAATTGATAAAGACAACCTCCATTCATGCGAAACACAAGGTACCCATCTTGTGTTACATCCGACCAACTAAATGCGTAAATCAAGTCCCGAGGTTATTGATATCTCTCGGAAATGGTTGCGGTATTTATAAACAACATTCAATGTAAACATATCATTGACAAGTAGAAAAAATAATCTTGATCCAAACAGCTGTTCGTTATTTCATAGATGATTATGTGATTAACATTGGGAGAAAACTTGTCAAAAATCTCACAAAATTGGGTTTTTAAACCTAGGCTACATAGTTTTATTTACAAAGTAGTGAGGCCATATTTTAATAGCTAAAGACACTCCCCCAATCCAGTGAATACATTAAAATTATCTGGATCTTGATAGGAACTCTCGTTTTTCAGGAGATAGTCGCGTAAAATGCCTTCAGAGCCGTGACAGACAGACAGACAGAAATTGAGATAAGACTTGTATCGGCTTCTTTAATGTATAAAACGTAAAAATAACCAAATAATAAATAATTCTGAGCAATGTAAAGAAAAAACTCTAATTTTATTTAGGCTGTATAGATAATTCAATGATTAAGCTACTTTTTAAGCTAACACTAATTAATACCAAAACCCTACCTAGGCTGACGTTAACCGAAACCCCCAGTCTGTGAGACCCCATTTAAAAAATAATGGACCCCGCTTAAAAACACACAAACCGAAACCCTCGGCCTGTGAGACCCCGCTTTAAAATACACTAATGCTGAGCTTCTGAGACGGACATGTTATGAACAGACAACCTGTCAAGGTTACGTCACCCACACCCATGCAAAATGAACAAACAATATATCAATAGGTAGGGGAGGAAAAGGGGGGAAGGTATTGGGTGAATGGAATCTCCCAAGTAAACAGTGTTGCCAACATGCATTTTTTGAAAATTCCCGTGGGCCTGTCAGACCGGGGTTTTGGTAGGTATTAGTGTTAAGAAAAAAGTTAAAAATTTTCAATAGTGATGTCCATGTTGTATGAATTTATATTTAACTAGCTGGCCCGACAGACGTCGTCCTGTCCTAATGTGGTTTTATGTCAAATGCTCGTTCATTTTCAAGATGAGCTCGTTCGCAAGGCTCAATCACGTCCTGGTTGAAGTTTGTTCGCTACGCTCACTCACCTTTAGGTTGGAGCTCGTTCGCTGCGCTCACTTGCCTTCAGTTACATTTGACAACAAATATTCGTAAAAAACAAATGGAATAGAAACCTATTTGATAGCTCTCATTTGTTATGCATAGATTTGTTTTTAAAAATTAGGTTATCATTACAACAGCTGTTTCCTTAATTTAATCAAAGTTAATCAAGAAATTACAAACATGGCATGGTAAACAAAATAAAACATTCTTCCATAAGATTAACATGTAAACTGCAAAGGGCCATAGGACGCTTCCTTAAGGGTTTTTGAAACGGAAACAGGCTATTATGTTATTCTACTTAGTACCTAAGGAATATCCCTGTAAATTTTCATGCCAATTGGTTCAGTAGTTTTCTAGTTATAAACGCTGTAACTAACACAACTTTCTTTTATACCTATATTCAGATAACCTGCCTACAAAGATTTGATGGTAAGTTATATTGGCACTAGGCCTAATAGGTAGGCCTACTTATGGAGGCCACTTATTTTAGAGGGATTTTTTACCGAATGTAACTTAGGCTTACCAAAAATAACTACACAATTGGAAAGAACATGACAAGGTGTCCAAATTTGACATGATTACAATTAGCCGGCTTTAAGTTCTGCCTCCTAGAACGCAGCGATGTTGACACGGATTGAGTTGAAACGGAGGCCACCCTTACAGCGCGCTGCAGGGGTTACGTTAGGTTAGGGGATGCAGGTTCATAGGCGTCCCACTACCATAGGTTAATCTAATTAACTAAGCTTAACCAAACTTGATAAAATTAATTAGGCTAAGTTAAATACTAATCTAGAGGTTAAATACCTTATTGCCAACGTAATCCTTGGTAGACTTAATGGCTACCGGGTTTGACACACTTATGGTGTCATTGTCAAGCCTAGACGTGGTTTTTCGCTTCTATGAGGTCGTCATAAAATCTTCAAAAACACATAACGAGAGGAACAAATAACAAAAACGAACACGTACACACACATTTTAACGAATAAAGTATGGCCATACAACTCACGGCGCGGCTGCGGGTTCAGGGTGTAGGTCTAGACTGACCATCGCTGTGTCCTTCCCCTCCCCTCCTATCCTTTGTTGTTATCAGTGCCATTGTCTTCTGATAAGTTTTGTATGAATGAGAAGGCTGCTTCGCGACGGTCAGTCTAGAGTCTGTATGGCCATATTTTATTCGTTAAAATGTGTGTACGTGTTCGTTTTTGTTATTTTTTCGTCTCGTTATGTGTTAACGATATGTTAACGCTATTTAACTTAACTTACCATGAAATTAGTTGCAGATTACTTTCATACTTTTACGGATTAAGCCTAGGATTGTTGTGTGTTGAATGTTTTTTACAAATAAATAGAAGTAATTTTAGTTAGCTTACTAGGCCTAATCTAGACTTGTTGGTAGGCTAAGCCTAGGCCTAGCTATGTGACAACTTAAGCCTAGACCCTTTTATAGTGAGTGTGCTTTTCAGTTAACTTATATGTTTGACACATTCAAAAAAAAAATACCAACTTCAAAATACAGTTTTTATTAAAAATTATAGTTTATTAGCATGAAATAGCATTAACATTTAGGTTAGGAAATACTCTTAGATTGGTTGAATGCAAGTGGTATCGTAAAAGATTTCTATATTGGTGAATACGTACGATATAAAATCACTGTCTAAATAATGACGTGCTTGAATAAATTTATATCAATTAACTTCGTTATTGTACGCCTAATGCAATACATTCATATTCTTTTATGTTTCCTAGGTTTAATATCAAATATTTAAGGTCAATAATATCAAACAAACAATTAAACAAACAAAACACAAACACAACGCCAACAGACAACACAACACACAGACAACACCTCCACACCTCCAAACTCCACCAAACCACCAAACCACAACAAACCAAACACCACGAACAGTGAAACTTCACTTCACTTCACTCCAGTAACTCCACTCCACTGCCGGGCTGCCCATGGTGGAAGCAAATATATTTACTTCCACTATAATGGGGCTGCCGCTATGCCGCTCGCACAATTTTTATTTCAGCTGCAGTTTTTTAATACGGAATATGGGGACCTGCTGGAGAAATGCAGTCGCATGAAGGATCTTGGTGTCACGATTGATTCTTCTTTGAGTTTGGTCAGCACATTAGCGACATACGTGCCAGGGCCTGCCACACCCTTGGCCTGGTTATTCGGACGGTAAATCACGGGCTAGACTCCGTAGCAGCTACCATCTTATACAAGTCCCTTGTCCGTCAGCTACACGTATGCTTCGGTTATATGGTATCCATACCAACTCTGTCTTACAGAGCAGCTAGAGTCAGTCCAAAAGACAATTCATCAAATTGCTGGGAGTCGAGAGGGGTTCAACTACTTAAAGAAGTCCCCACCCATGTCGTCTCAGAATCATACAGGTTGCAGCCATGCAGAAGACGACTAGCAGATGTGCCGTTCCTCTACAAGCTCCTAAACAGCAAGATAGTCTGCCCTTACCTCCTGGAGAAGATAAATTTCAGGGTGCCCACCAGGACACTATAGGGATCAGCGTTTATTTGAGCTTGGAGCATGCAGGAAGAAGTTACCTCAAGAACAGTCCTATTCCAAAACTAAAAAATATGCGTTCCGGCAACACGTCTCTGCATCAGTGGACCTCTTCCATGAAAGCCTAGCAGCCATCAGACGCTCTGAACCCGCATCCTCTGGTCCCCTGCCACCGAAACCTAGAGTGTCCCATTGTTGTTTGCTATTTGATATTGTTTCACATATCTTTTTCGATTTCTGTCAATTTCGCTAAGTTTGAGTTACCCGCACTGCTATTGTTTAAAACTGTTATTGTTGAATCAAATTTTTACCATTGTTATTGTTTTTCATATTTTATTTTGTGCTTCATTCATTGTTACATTGGTACTTATCTAGTCAAGATTATTTTTCCTGTTACCGATGCTGCTCTTGCCATGTAGAATATGTGTTAAGTTTTCTGTTAACATATATGCATGTTGTTACCTCATAGGTTTCTTGCATCCACATTGTAAATTGGTGATCTGCCGTTGGAATAAATAAATAAATAAAACAAATAAAATATTCCAGTTACGTTAAAGATATGTAGCATTGACTTTGGTAAAGTATTGGAATGCTAGCTCCGCTCAATATTGCAAGCAGACAACTCCATTGTACACCTTATTATACCAATATAGTGTGTATATACACAATTTCAATGGGAATATCAATCATTCTATAGACAGCCGACATCGGGGAGTGAGCTGGCGTAGTGGTTAGAGAGCGGGACTTCAGTCCCTGAGGTTCGATTCCCACCAAGTCACCAATAGATGTTATCTAAGTGATAAAGCCGCAACCCCTAGGTCTAGCCTGAAGCAATGTGAAAAACAATCCCAAGCTCGTGCCTAGCGTCCTAGGACAAAAAATATAAATAAATAGACAGCCAACATGGTTTGGATGAAACCTTACTAAAACCAACTCCAACATATAACGTATCAAGATAATGTGTTTTATTTTCAAAAATGTATTTACTCTCGTTAACCATGAAAACCTTCCAACTTTTTGACTTTGGGTGAAGCTACGTGTGATTCCGTACCCACCTAAAATCGTAAGTTATTAAATTATTTTAACTGTTAACTTGGCGCAACTACACATGAAGCCGTAGTATGACGACTTGTTTTGTACACGCTACACCATTGATTAATCCGATTGATGCACAAACTAGCTCAACTAGTATTGCCATTAGCAGAACCAACATTGAGACATGACCAAGCTATAATACAGGCTTTTGATTAAACGTCAACATTGGCTTATAGGATTGTTTACGACAATTTTCACTCTGTCGATCAGAACTGTTTGCCAATAAAGGGAAATCGTGAATTGTTGCAATAAGGACTTCATGGCGAGTCCTTATGTCAAGTGTGATCGTGATCTAGGTCACGATACTCTAATATGACGGGTAAATATACTGCATAAGGTACTTTGGCATTTACAATGCAGACTCAAAGAATTACTGGTACCAATTAAAACTCAAAAGGCTTGCCAAAAGTCAAAATTTGTCAAAATTTAACCATGTATAATAGGCCTATCTTTGTTTAAGCATTCTACAGAGGAGGCTATTTCCAATAAAAACACTGAAATTCAACCAGCATCAGTGATTATTGCAGGTAGGCCTACATAGATATGTCCACAGTTGACATACCTTTCATGTTGGGTATTTCTTAAGTTGGTTTCATATTTAATCAAGTGTCTTGTTTCTGAGTTTTATTTAAGGAAATTCACTAGGTGAAATTATTTACAATTAATAACAACCCTGCGGGTCTTGTCATCGTGGACTTCATGTAGGTAGAAGATTTATTCAACTAGTAGTACTTTTTATGATCAATTTTGAACACTAAATTAAAAGTTTTAAAATCGTGCCTACCTTTAAGGTTGAGTGATAGCTTCTTAACAGTAAACCGCAGTTTTAATCGTTTAACTAGGCCTATTTTACACAATTTATTTTCAACCTACAGGTTTATATTCCATAAAATACCATGCAAGTCTATTCCTAGGACCGTATTATTTCACAGGTGGTTGATCCTTAGGACTACTATCAATTTAATTTGTAGGAACAACAAATGCTTAATATCCTACCTCAAAGAATTTGTTTCTGTTAGACTACACTTTGCAGGCATTATTCTAAAGATTACTTCAGTGTTAATCGTGTGTGATTAAAATTCAGGCCATGATAGTTCTCCATGCATAGCTTTTGAGATATTTAATAAAAACCAAAAAAGTGCCATTTTTCCAAGTTTAACCACCCCCCCCCCCCCTTATCACCAAACCCGACGCTCAAATAGGTGTAAATTTATACCAAACCTTATGTGGACTGTACTTAACAACTTGGAGTCAAAAGTGGTTTTTTCACTTTGGATGGTCCGGTTTAACCCTTTTTGGCTAGTTTTGCCGTACTATTAATAGTAATAAAAGATTAACTACGTGTATAAGCTTTTAAATCACAAAGAGTGTAATTACAGAAAAAATATTTATAATACTATACATTTTAATGATATAAAACTACGTAAACTGTGTTATAAAACGTATACTTTTATAATAAATAAACTACAATGTACCTTATTAAAAACGTATTTCATCAACCTGTAAATCCCCATCACCGGAAATTTCTAGCAAAATACACTGTATATCAATTGAATAAATCTGTACCGGCAATCGATGCTTATAAAGCAATGTAAATCCGTATCAATTGCATTAATCCAGTTTATATTATAATCCCCATAAACATGTGGCAACTCCCACAGGACAGGTCACCATATGACCCGACGCACGCGCACCAACTCCCGCGCGGCACTCCCGCCAGTCACCCTCTGTATTTTGCGCGGGAAGCGTCAAAATCGCGCGCGCTCCCTCTAGTCTTACTGTGGTGTAAAAACAAAACAGTTAGTGACGTGGGTTATGTTTGAAATTGTATCAATGCCGAATCTTGGGTAAGCAATAACATTTTAGGGTAGTTTAATATTTTTTAAGTTCAAGGGTAGATTATTGGGGGTGAATATTCCGCAACAAGTGGGGGAGGGTGGTATGCGACACCTGTTGCAACTTCGGCATGTTTCGTCTCCTTTACGATTGATTGTAAACCAACCGAAGTATTAATTTATATTTAATGCGTCGTTTAATTTGCATTATAGTTTTAAACTAACATAAGGAAATAAATTGAGCTACACCTAAGCGTGCAACATTGCTTATACAAAATTAATACTAATTAAAAGGGTAAAAACTTTATTCTATCATAACCATTCATCATTTACTTTATTCATCATTTATTCTAATTATCTATTAAACAATACATCTTCATTAAGTAACTTTAATGAATGCGTATAGGTTTTACTGTATAACATATTTTTACAGAGTATTCTTATATTTATGGGGAAGTTTAGACATAATTTTTCAATAATTTATTCAAATGCAGTATTTACCAGTCTTAAAGATATATGTTTTCGGAAGGATTTGAACACACTATGATTTAAGTGCAAAATTGAAAAAATAGGTATTTGATTACATAAGTTTATACATCTATGTTGTTAAAATGTCGACTTCCACTGCTGTTAGATTTAAAAGATCGTGTATCACAACAGTTCAACCCTTGTTTGGAAGGCAAAGGTCGGACCCTGCCCTTGTTATATTGAACTGTGGCACAGTGTTTCTGTTACCTTTGCTGTTGTAGTCTTTCTTTTAAGTGTTTTTGTCGATATCCAAGCTTAGTTCTCAGCTCTCCAATTTTAAGAATGGTTATGCATCCATTCAAAAATATATTGAATGTAAATAATTCACAACAGTAACATAAATGTGAACTAAAATGAACCTAAATCAACTTAAAAACATATAGTTAAAGCTAACACAAGCCAAGTAGGCATTCGAATTTTTAATGAGATTGGAAGTCTACTAAAAGTATGCTTTCAAGGCAATCTCAGTAACTCATATTAGGTCAGTGGCTCTATATCTTAATCCACCTAAATCAAAATCACGAATTCAGTTGTACATCTTTACATACCTTAGATGCAATAATTTATTATCTCAACCTTTTTACGCATCAACGCAGCCTTGAAACCGAGATGGTTGGATAACTGTAGGCTCAGTTTTTATATAAAATTTGATTAATTATATGATTTACTAATATCTAGGTAGCCAAGTAGTTCAAGTGCTTGTTTCAAATCTAAGTTATGATAGTACTATCCCGAGTAAGGTAATCTCTGGAACTAGGTGT